ATGTTGGCCAGGCTGGTTTCAAACTCCTGACCACAGATGATCTGCTTGCCTTGGTCTCCTCCCAAAGTGCTGGGTTTGGGATTATAGGTGTTGAGCCACCGTGCCCAGCCCCACAACTTATTTTTGATTTTTTTGAGACAGGGTCTCATCCTTTCACCTAGGCTGGAGTGCAGTGGTGCCGATCATGGCTTTACAACCTTGACCTCCTGGGTTCAAGCAGTCTTCCTACCTCAGCCTCCCAAGTATTAATATTTGGGACTGTAGGTACATGCCACCCTGTCCAACTAATTTTTTACTTTATGTGGAGATGGGGATCTCACTGTGTTGCCCAGGCTAGTCTTAAATTCCTGAGCTCAAGCGGTCCTTCCACTTCAGCCTACCAAAGTGCTGGGATTGCAGCCACCGCACCCTCCCTATTACCTATTTTTATTAAAAAGAGTGTGGCTTTGGAGTACTGCCTACTTGGAGAGTGACCTACCCAAGTTACCTAAATTCTCTGGACTTTGAATTTCTATGTAAAGTGTGAATAATAGCTATGGCAATGTTATGTTGAATCACAACATTTAAGCAAAAGTTCTGTGCAAATGATGCAATGAGTCATCAGATAACTGCTGTTGTTTTTAGCCGGCTAAGGTACGTTCTGGGAAGAAGAAAGGAATCTTTAAATTTTTAGCCTCTTTTTTTCTGAAAGAATAGATATTAGTTTGTACTTCTTGGATGGCCATTGTGGCTAACAATAGATTATAAAAAATTCATTCATGTGATACTCATTGTGATGCTTGATATTACTGTCTGTATGTCACAGCCTTAAGTGTGGAACTGCTCTCTGATTAAAAAAATGAGTACTGACTCCTGGCAGTTTCACATTTTTTGTGGAACTAATAGGTTTAATTGAGTTTATGTGTTGGCATGGTCTATTTTTTACTGATAATTTTGGTCCTCATTCGGATAATGCCAGCATTCAAGGGCTACATACCAAGGTTACCAAGAGATGGGGTCGGTAGTTATGGCGTTAGTGAAATTGGTGCTTAACATGTTTTCATTATCAATCAACCACAAATAAAAAAGGCAATCTTAACTATTGCATTTACAGTGAAAAGGGAAAGCTTTGATTGGCACTGTCAGCATTTAAAATGCAAACAATTTTGAACTTTGGTATGCAGGAATTATTGTGAGCATAAGCAGAACACTGTTGGCTCAAAACAGGAAGCAAATAGATATTTTTAAAAAATGCTAATTTCTTTCTTACTGCCAATGTTTGGTTTTCACCATTCCGCTTCTTGCCTTCCTGAACTCGTAAGTGCTGCTGGTGGCCCCCGAGTTTGCATGCAGTTCTGCCTGATCTGGGTCTTTTTGACCCCAAAGCCTACAGTCAGACCCTTTTACACTTACCAGATCCTTGAGCATGGGATCTCTTCCTTTGAAAACCTTTATCATCGTTACATACTATATGTTTCTTGTATTTGAAATGTTTTCTGGTAAGTACATATTATATAGATACTTTTCCTATTTTTGAATTTTCTTGGTAATAATCTCCAGTAGATGTCTGTCATGAATGGAAACTATCATGCAAGGTTTTGGGATCCGTTAGATTCTAGGCTTGAGGCTCTGTTGTTGACTCTTCCATGACTTTGGGCAGGTTTTTTTAATCTCTGAGTTTCATTATTTGTTAAATGAGGACAATCATTTCAACATATAGTTGTTGAATGAATGATGTATTTCATAGCTAGTCTACTGATTTCAGAAACATTGCCAGGGGTTTTGTTTGCCTTTTTGTTTTGTTGCTTTTTAAGAAGGTGGCCATTGTTAATCTTTTAATTTTTTTACTGTATAGATAACAGACAAGAGAGTATCCAGAAGACATGCCATTCTTGAGGTGGCAGGTGGTCAGCTGCGAATCAAACCGGTAAATATGTTATTATTGATTCATTTTAACTTTTATCTCTTACCCTTTCAGTTCCCAAGCAGAGGTGCCTATTTTCTAAGGTTATGGGAATAGGGAATTAATGTCAGAACATATCCTTCTCATTGCCAGAAAATAATTAGGAGATAAAGATCTAAACTATGAGTAAAACTGTATATTTTCTCATAGGACAATGCCACATTTACACAATTAGAATTTTAATGAAAGGTGACTGCCAGTTCATGTGTACATTATGATTTGGTTTAAAATTGAATATGCCAAATAATATCCAATAAGAAAGCCCATAACTATGTAATGGTTGTTTTTTTGAGCTGGGGTAGTGACCAAAGTAACTTAAATGTTACAGGGATATTTTAACACATTCTGTATCACTGTGTGTAGAGTTGAATAGTTCTAAAATTTAGACCTTGTTCAACTTTGAGGTTTGAAAAATGATTTTAATTTGAAAGTTTTTGTTGAGGGCTAGAATTTTAATTGTTTGCTTTATAGTTTCCTGCTGCAAAATCACTGATGATATGCGGGGACAGCCAGTTTCTAAGAATATACAATGTGATTATTCCTTTTCTTTTGCAGAGTCTATTGTGTAAGAGAATGAAATATGTGCATGAGGGTCCATTTATTTTAGACTAGATCGTATGGTGGTAAAATTTCATGGAATTAAATTCAGTAATTTATAACCTTTTTAAACCAATTTGTATTTTCATATTTTATATACAACCGCCTGTTATAGCGTTAGTTCCTTCTTTTACACAGATAGTACTTGCTTTTTTATCCTATGTTTAACTGTTTCCAAATTTGGAAAGCATCTTTTAAATTTTAGTACTTGGAAATTTTTTGAATAAAAAATTATTCAATGTATTCACCTTATCTCAACCTTGAATATATAATCTTTAAAAGGGTTTATGTCTCATCGTCATTCTGCATTATCTTAGTGTCTTAAAAAGTGTTAATATCTGGAGTCAATACTCCTGTAGGAGCCACTGTATTTACCATTAGTTATTCATTTCTGTATCCTCTCCAGATAACTTATTCTTCTGAGATGACATACTGGATCACAAGGTCCTTGAATATAGGAACTCTGACTAATCTTTGCATCCCTAGTGTTTATCATAGTGCCTAAAACATAGTAGGTATTTAATTAATATTTGCTGAATGCATGAGTAAACGCTATAGTGAGAACTATCTATGGTACATCTAGGAGTGGGAACATGATAGATTTTTACAAAAGTATGTTATTCTCTAGTGCCCAATTTCTAACACCTTGCCAATGGACTACCATGGCTTAAAATAAGTTTTTTGTTGTTGTTGTTACTAAAGCATATTAAAGGAAAGAATAGAGAGATCTTGAAATTCTTATCCTACCTTTTCTAATAGAACATGTTTATTAGATTTACTTTTTTCAAAATAGCAATTCTGGCTTAATATTACCCTTGCCTCCTCAAGTGAAGGAACCATTAGTTACCACTGATTTTCTACATGATTTAGATTTACTGCTCTATAATTCATGTTAACAAAAAGAGGAACTTTATAGCGAGTACTTAATTTTTTGTAAGTAGATCATTTAAATAGTCCTTAATGACTGGATTTCTAGTTATTTTTTATACCAAACCAGAAAGTATCAGCTCCTGCAGTAGATGAATAGACTTTTCTGGTTTGTGTTGTTAATATTCAAATCCTGCTGATAACTATGCAGATGTTATAGAAAAACAAATCAATAAACTAGTAGTACTTTTCACTCTGTTATGAAGGCAAGCTCTTGGTTAATACCTGTTAACTCCTGTTATAGCTTTTTTTTTTCACCTCTGCTTTTGCTCCAGTGATATCTAAAAAATTTATAGTAGCACAATATTTGTAAATGGTGAGTGATTCATTTTAGGAACTTAACATATATAGAAATGATTATTTTTTATTTATATAGATTTAGAGAGTACAATGCAGTTTTGTTACATGGTTATATTGTGAAATGGTGAAGTCTGGGCTTTTAGTGTAACCATTACCTGAATAGTGTACATTGTACCCATTAGGTAATTTCTCAACCCTGTCCCACCTCTCACACTACCACCCTTCTGAGTCTCCAGTGTCTGCTGTGCCACTGTGTCCATTTATTTTGTGAGCAAATTAACCAGTGGAATTGTGGACAACTCAGTAGATATCAGGTTTTCTCTTTACACTCTTTATTTACTCAGTGATAAGAAGAAACCCTTCTTATAACAAAATTGACATGGCATTAAATTTTTTTATATCAAAAATAGGTCATTAGAAAACTGTCATATTTACTAATGCATGAATATTTTAAACATTTACATTTTTTCTCAGTGTTAATCAAGGACATTTATATTTTAAAATGTTTTATAAATTGGCTTTAATAAAGTTGCTTAGTTGGAGTTGTGTCTACACTTGGCTGAAAATTATTCAGTTATATTTTGTACTTCTGTGGCTATTCAAAAGAATACTAATAATGTAAAATAAGAATGCCCACATTAAAGGTGATTTTATTAGTTGAAAATCTTATCTTGAGTTAAATTTTATCCGGTATGTAGTGAGCCAAATTTCCTTGTGGGATTTTAGCAGTGTTCAGTTATAAAAAGGCTCCTTTTTGAAAATACTCTTCACTTTTACTGAGTCTTTAATTAGATGGTACTCAGATCATAAAACCACTATGTATTACATTAACAGGTGTCTTTTGAGTACAAAACTGTAGTAGAAATAATGCTAGAAGCTAGAGCAAAAATTCCTCATGAGATTAGATATAAAACTAAAATTTGGAATGATTTATTTACGTTTTACCTCTGTTTATGATCACTTAAATATTATTTAGTGTAATTTTCTAAACTTTCCCATAAGTGTGATGTTTAGACATGAGAGAAGGTAGATCTTTTCTATCCTTTTTTGAGTACCTTTTTTTTTGACAACTTAGAATGTCACAGCCTTCTGGAGAATGTCTGATCTTAAATACTCAACAAATTCTAGAATGGGAATGAGAGCCCAGGTTCTTTGAACTCTGTAGTATTTTCTTGTTGTTATATTTCTGAAGTCAGGATTCTCTTGGTATTGGGTGTCTCTTCTTCAAAAATATTTCTTTAAGTTACAACTGATTGATGTTCTGTCTTAACAAGAAGTTTTAGTGCCTTCAGTTGAATAAAATTTTAGAACTGAAAGCAACCTTAGATTTGGACTTATGTGTGTGGAAATTTGATTGGGCCAGGGCTAGCATTGTGTGTCAGTGGGGAAGAGGAATTTTTATCAGTAAATGGTATTGGGACAGTTATCTGTTTGGAAAAAAAAAAATAGACCACTACTGCAGACCCAACAATCTATTCCAGGTAGATTAAATGTGAGAGTCCAACTATAAAACTCTTAGAATATAATATAGGGAAAAACCCTTATGACTTTAGAGTAGGGAAGGGTTTTTAAACAAGATATAAAAAGCATGAACCATAAAAACAGTTGGAAAAAGCCAATGAAATTAAAATAAGAAACTTCATTTATCAAAAGACACTATAATGAAAATGATGTAACTACAACAGGGAGAAGATGTTTAAAATACATGTAATTGGCACATGTAATTAGGCCATTCATGCATTGACATAAAGAAATACCTGAGACTGGGTAATTTATAAAGAAGAGAGATTTAGGCTGGGTGCAGTGGCTCACACCTGTAATCCCAACAATTTGGGAGGTGAAGGTGGGCAGATCACTTAAGGTCAGAAGTTCAAGACTAGCCTGGGCAACATGGTGAAACCCTGTCTCTACTTAAAATACAAAAATTAGCCAGGCTTGGCCAGGCACAGTGGGTCACGCCTGTAATCCCAGCACTTTGGGAGGCCGAGACGGACAGATCACGAGGTCAGGAAATCGAGACCACCCTGGCTAACACGGTGAAACCCTGTCTCTACTAAAAATATAAAAAATTAGCCGGGCATGGTGGTAGGCGCCTATAGTCCTAGCTACTCGGGATGCTGAGACAGGAGAATGGCGTGAACCCGGGAGGCGGAGCTTGCAGTGAGCTGAGACCATGCCACTGCACTCCAGCCCGGGTGACAGAGTGAGACTGTGTCTAAAAAAAAAAAAAAAAAATTAGCCTGGCGTGGTGGCGGGTGCCTGTAATCTCAGTTACTGGGGAGGCCAAGGCAGGAGAATTGCTTGAACCCCAGGAGGACAGAGATTGCAGTGAGCTGAGATTGCACCACTGTACTCCAGCCTAGGAGACGGAGTGAGACCCTGTCTCAAAAAAAAAAGAAAAAAGGTTTAATTGGCTCATGGGTAGGCTTTACAGGAAGCATGGTGCCATCATCTGCTAGGTTTTTGGTGAAGCCTCAGGGAGCTTTCAATCATGGCAGAAGGCGAAGGGGAAATAGGTACGTCACATGTCGAAAGCAGGAGCAAGGGAGAGAGAGGGAGGGAAAGGTGCTACTCACTGTTTTTTTTCTTCGACTTTTACGTTCAGGGATACATGTGCAGGGTGTGCAGGTTTATTACATAAGTAAACGTGTGCCATGGTGGTTTACTGCACAGATCATTCCATTATCCAGCTATTAAGCCCAGCATCCATTAGCTATTCTTCCTGATGTTCTCCCTCCTCCCACCCTCCACTCTTCAGTAGACCCCACTGTGTATTATTTCCCACCCTGTGTCCATGTGTTCTCATCATTCAGCTCTCACTTGTAAGTGAGAACATGCAATATTTGGTTTTCTGTTCCTGCATTAGTTTGCTGAGGATAATGGCTTCCAACTCCATCCATGTTCCTTCAAAAGACATGATCTTACTCCTTTTATGGCCGCATAGTATTCCATGGTGTGTGTGTGTGTATATATATACACACACATGCATATCACATTTTCTTTTTCCAGTCCATCATTGATGGGCATTTAGGTTAACTCCATGTCTTTGCTATTGTGAACAAGCCACACACTTTTAAATTACAAGATCTCACGAGAACTCATGCACTGTTCGGACGATAGCACCAAGCCATGAGGTATTC